TTTTTATAAACTCTAATGATACGTTTCCTATTCGAATGTGTCAAAAATCCTGTAAAGGTGTTTTAACTATTAATTTTCCTTAGCATTATTTTTTATTGTGCATTATACATAACTACAAAAAGAGAATGACATCCATTCTGAATGTAATGTTTATAAAACTCAAGTAGTCTTTTCTGTAAGATAAATTCATATATCACTGTGAAAGTTTCATAAGGGATCCCACCAAGAAATTTTGAATACATTTGAAATTGTTTTCTGGTTATTCTGAATACCAAAGTTTTGTATGCTCTAATTTGTATTTTGCCATTTTTACTTCATACACACTTTCAAACTGTATATTTTCAGTTTAAAAAAACAAATAAGGACTTTGGTATGGTAAGACTATATGTAGCCAAAATACTAAATTGGAAATTACAGATGCACTTGGCAAATCTTTCTTTAGGATAAATCTGAATATAAGATGATCACTTGGCACTTGTATTTACAGGAGTAACTTGCTAAATGATACAACCAAGTGAGGAAGATGTAATTTTAAAATCATACCTGATTTACATTTTTATTTATTTATATTTATTAACATTATTGTTTATATTTTGTCCTAATTTACTAAAATAATGAATTTAATTCTGGAGTGCATTAAGAAAGTCATGCTCTATACTGATGTGTGCCAAAATGTTACCTGTGATTTTTTAAAGTCCCAGCTGTCTGAAATTTCAGTTCAGGAATATTATTCAAATTCTACTTTCTACTGGATTCTTTTTATTAGTTTTTCCCTCTTAATTTATGCGATTTGCTTAACAATATGTGCTGGTATTTAATATTTTACATGTTACAACATTGAACTTGACTGCAGTTCCTTGAATGTGTCCAGCTAAATTGTCCATGCTTCTAAGTTAACATATGATAACAATGGCTACTGTTCATAAATATCTGTAACATGCTCATTACTTTTGTCTGCCCTTTTTATTTAAATTCCCATTTTCATGTTCTGTCTTGGGTGAAGATTGTTTACTGTCTGTTGTCTGTTGAAATTTTTCATCATATAGGCAAAATGCAGGATGGGAATATGGAGAACAGCCAGAACAAAGGTAATCTTCTTTCATATTAAGGAGGTTGTGGATTTTATTTTTAGCATGTAGTTAAATTCTGTTAAAAAATTAAATGAAAATTTGCGATTTGTGCCTGTGTGTAAAAATGGCCCCTACTGTTCAAACAGAATGTTAAAAACCAAACAACCAAACCCAATAAAAAAACCTACCAAAAAAAATTGTAACTTAGAGAATTTTGATATATCAGATACTTAGGGTAGGAGATCAGTATTTCTAATAAGCTACTTATGGATGATACTTTCATGTCACAAAGTTAATTTGAATTCATTTCTCTTGTGCAAGTTATGTATGCTATGTATTGTTAGTGAATTTCCAGCCCTATTTTTGATATGTCTCGTCATCTTTGGTGTTTAATGGCATCATACAGACATATTTTCATTTGCAGGGTGAAGGTAAAGGAATAACAAAAGGAAGCTTTAAAGCAAAGAGTTATTTAGCAATGTAGAAGTGTATTATAAGGATAAATAACAGCAAGATAAGAATCTTAGGAGTTTCTTGTTTAATGTACACTTTCAGGAAGAAATTGAAATAAATATTTTGCTTTCTCCAAAGCAAAGTCATGGTTCCCTTTTTATTTTATGATACAGCTATCACGATTTCTTTGGGTTATGCCAAATAAGTAAATTAAACTATAACTTTCTCTTCTCGGATAATTCTAAAGGTTGCAAAGGTGGTGGATCAGAAACTGAATAGATAAACTCAGTTGTTAATGGTACAGAACTATTAAATAAAATGATATTAAATGAATAAGTTTTAAGGTTAGTTAGACGAATTAGATTTCCAGGTCAAATAAGCATGGTTTTGTACAATCTGTTCACGAATGTCAAAGCAAAGCTGTTTCATCTCATTCTATTTAATTTACTTATGTCTGTGTTCAGTACAAAACAGACACATACACATATATAAACTGGAATGTCATTGCTTTTAGCAATCATGTCTTTCTCTTTGATACTAAAATAAAGTTTCCTTATATTAGTATTAGCGTTCTTTGAAGAAAGGATGGTTTAGCCTTTAAATTATGTGTGCTTTCTATGGGAGAATGATGACGGTATCACCATTTCACCTGATGGTTAAGTAACTTGAACACTGAATGCTAAGGGAAGTTTTAAAGTCTGGTATTATCTAGAGTAGTGGTTCGCAAAGTGTGGTCCACTGGTCACTGAGGTGCCCATGCAGTCCAGAGAAGTGGTGCGTGGATCATCTGTGGAACCACGTTGCCTTTAAAATGTTTTCATTAAAAGTATGATTATAAAGGTGCATTGTAATCTATGAGACATACCAAAATTTAGAGATACATAGGCCATCTATTTGCCAAAGCATTTGAGATCTGCTGTTCTCGGAAATCCTGCACGACTGATGTACTGTTACTTGTCAAGTAATTTGCAAGACATTAAGTGATATATATGTGTATAACACAGAATGTCATTGATGGCTTAAAAAATCAATAAAGAAATAAAAATCAATGGTTTTCATGGTACTTGAGACACAGCGCATTACATATCCCCAGACGTATGGAGTGCACATGGGTATGCTTGTACATTTGTGCCCCTGCAGCAGCCCCCTGGGTCTCGTAGGGGCATCTGTCTGCCGTGGGAGTGAAATGTAATTCTGTGCCTAGTTACAATCATCTGTGTTGCAATCAGCCCCTGCCACGGGTGTTGCTGGTTGAATTCAGTAAGTATCAACACTAAGATAAAAAGAATGAAGAATAGTTGGGGAGTAACAGTTTTGTTCTGCATTATTAGCCAAGCAGCAGGATGGGGCTGCTGCCATGGAGATGCAGCCACTGAAGAGTGCAGAAGGGGGAGAGGGAGACGACAAAGACAAGAAGAAATCCAACATGCACAAGAAAGAAAAATCTGTTCTTCAGGGAAAGCTGACCAAGCTGGCAGTCCAGATAGGCAAAGCAGGTATGACTGGATAATAGACCAAATAGCAGTGTGTTTTACTAGCAACAAAGGGTTTTAAAACAAGTTATTCTCAAAAGGAATAGGTCTTTTTTACGGCAATGTTTAGAAATAGGTCATCATAATACTGTTCCAAGGATACTATGTGGTATTGAAGATCTTTTATTCTTCTAGAACTCAGCTTTGACTGTAAGAAACTGGAAGCTTTGGGCAATTTGGATTGTAATGAATATTTGAATCAAAATGAAATGTAGCCTTTCTCATAGGCAGTATTCCCAAATGCAGTAATTACATGTTTAATTTCCTCTCCCCTTAGAACTTCTGAGTACACAGTTTCAGAATCTCTAATATCATCTCAAAATACCACTCACACAGTATTTCCCTCTTATGGATTCTGAAATCATTCTGTTCTCTCTTAATATCCATGTTCCTGCCTTCTACCCAAATATGACACATCTGTTGACTCTTGTATCCAGTACCATCTGGTCCCTACTGTGACAAGTAGCACTTCTCCACCATGTAGGTAGAAGGTGAAAATCTTTCATAATGACATCATGTTCATTAGGTTCATTTTTCTAGCGGTATTGAAGAGATCTTGATCTCTATCCAGATCCTTGGCTGAGGCCCTACAGCAGATTCCTAACTTGACCTCTGTTGAGTCTCCTTTATCCTCCTTTACCAGTCTGATGTTTACCCCTGCTATTCCTTCTCATTCCTTTTTAAGTTCATTACACTTAGTTTATCACATAACCCCATGATGCCACTTCTGTTTCTTTGCCTGCACAGTGCATGACTCGGAATCTATGGTTTTCATCTCTTTGATATCCAATTTCATGCTTTGCCCCATTTCATATTCCTCAAGTTTCTCTGCTTGGTTGCTAGGTGTACGACAGTATGCATTGATACAAACCCACTTTATTTCTCATGGTCATTAATTTCTTAGATTAAGTACCTTTCTACACTGCCTTCTGATTATTACTCTCTGGTATTTCGGCAGGCATGCGAGTATCACTTTTAAAGTAATTGTATAGGGATTTCTGACCATAATGCGGCAAGTCATATGAATTAAATTAATTAATCATTGCCTCATTTGGTTTTTCTTTGTCATTGGGCAATCTATGGCGATGTCTTGCGTTGTCATGAGTATTTGCCTGTACAATATTTTAGTTGGTTTTTCCTTATCCTCTGGCATTTAGCAGTCTCCCGACTCATCTGTTTCCTGTCAACCTTAGCATCCTTCAGCTTACCACCTTTTTTTTTTAACTTCAGTCAAGACATAAAATTCACAGCATTCCCCTTCTACTCTATGATCTCATTAGAAAGAAATTAATTTATTTTGAAATGCAGGTTTAACTGCTTCATAGAAACCTGCCAAAAAGCAGTAATCACAGCAAGGCAAAATAGATGTTCTAATGGAGTTTTTATTTGTATACTCAGACCCAGGAACAAAATTGTGGAGGAGGAGTGCTATCTTAGCAAAGTCTGTGTCATTGGGAGAGCATACTAAGTCCCTGGGATCTTTTGTGAATTCTGTGAAATATTTATTAGTGTCTCTTGTGCTATACTGTCAGCATTGTACCTCTTTTGAGCTGCTCTTCATAAAAATATGCACTGTTTGCATATATCCCTTTGAAAAGGGAAACCTTGGAAACACTAGTATTTATCACATTTTCAAGACAAACAATTAAAAACTATTCTGTGGATGATTCTGCAGTATTGCCTCATTGTATTCAGCCAGACACATTCAGTAGGGCTTTTCTAAAATATTTTATACAGCAACATAAACTACAGGAGACTCCTTTTTTCAAGCCTCTTAAGATAAGCTTATTTAAAAGAAAGATGAGTGTTTGACTATGGGTAGACTAGTAATTTGTAAAAGGTGGAGGTTGAAAGGACAGATAAATGTCATACCAGGCAAAGTAATGTACTAAATTGAAAGAACTTAGCTTAAGCAACAGCGGAACTCGTGTTGAAGTAGACTGACTGAGAAGTTTTAAAGGAGCAGTAAGATGGTGCTTAAAAATTAATGTAGTATGATTCAGCTGTTCTGTAGAATGTCTGGCTATTGTAAATGTGTTATAGTAATGTTTTATACATTGTAAAATTTATCATTATTGCCACTGGAGAAAAATGTCACGTATAATAAGAAAATAATTTCATATCAAATTAAAATGTAAATTTCTAATTGCACATGTTTTTAATTGTGTTTTGGTTTATAGTAATTGATTTTTTCCGTTTTCAGGTTTGGTGATGTCTGCCATCACTGTAATAATTTTGGTACTATATTTTGCCATTGACACATTTGTGGTCAACAAGAAACAGTGGTTGCCTGAGTGCACTCCTGTCTATGTTCAGTATTTTGTTAAATTCTTCATTATTGGTGTTACTGTACTTGTGGTTGCTGTTCCTGAGGGGCTTCCGCTTGCTGTCACTATTTCTCTGGCTTATTCTGTAAAGGTAAGAAACATTAAAAATAATTACGGGAGAAAAATGCTGTTCAGTTGAGTTTGCTAGTAAGTTACTCTTCAGCTTTTGTCCGGCGTGATGAAAGTTGGCCTGTAAATTAATGTGCACAAAATGTTAATGAGAGTGAAATTTCTTTAAAGTGAAACTTTGCTTTATATTGAAAGTATTTCTGACAAAAATGCAAATACGTATATATTCTAATACATATCTTTAAAACCACACAGTGCAGGAATATCGAACAATACAAATACCTACTTAGTTTGCAAGGTTACTAGGAATTCATTGAGCAGAATTTACTATGAGAATAGTCTGGTTTTTTGAGATAGAATAACTTTGTCTTCAAATTTTCTTGTGCAATAGTACAAAGTTTTGACATGGATTTGAAGTCTTCAGGAACACTTTTCAAAGAAATTAGATTTTCACTGGAGCTTTCATGTACTTTTCTTAAATGCAGTTGTTTGTAGCCAATGTAAATGATTCTATTAGGAAATTAGAGAGGATTAAAATCCTGGACTTGTGGATTACTCCATTATCTGTCTGGGAGTTTTCTCAGATTGTTCTAGCAATTTAGTCAGATGGGCCTTATTTAAACATTCTGGGAATCTTAGATGAAGATTTTGTAAAGTTTATTTCCATTTAATGTGTAAACAAATTAACATATGAACATTAGGAAGGAAAACTTGATTTATATGTGGCCAAACATCATCATTATTAGGAAAAAAGAGCACATGTCAAGCATGGCATTTTGCTAATAAAGACTGTAGTTGCTTTTAAAATATTTTCCCTTCATCTGGCACGTGTATCTATATTTGCAGTATCAAACTGCAATACAGCTTTGTGTACAACTGGTGATATTGTGCCCTGTGCGTATAAGATAGTGTCTGAAAGTAAGGGTCAGGTGATTGGGCACAGAATTTTTTTAATATTGAAAACTTATAAACAAGGATAACCCATGTTTCCAGATGGCTGTGCATCTTATGAAAAGTATGCACTGGGGAATGGAGTACTCTGGTGATTTTTTGTGGGTGTGGGGGTTTTTTGTTTGTTAGTTTCTTTCTTTCTTTCCCATATATGGAATGTATAGTCCCTTTATGTGCTGCAAGATAACATCCTGGCATTGGAAAGAGTATTAAAAAGGAGTCTAATATTTGCTATAATTATACTTTTTTAAAAATCCTGTTATCTTCAGTTTCTTTAGTTAATCTTTGCTGTTCTAGCTATTCCCTAAAATGTATATATACTGCAAAAAATGATGGAAGTATATTGGTTTATCGAAGGCAAAATTATTTCAGGGATTGTCACTGCTTGGTTGTCTGTAACTAGGGCTTGGGTTATTGGCCCCGATTAAAGTTCTAGTTTAGTGAGCATTATGTTCAATGAACAAGACTAAATGCATGCTTTTTTGCTTTTTATAACCGATGTTTAAAATCTGTCAAAGCAAATCTTCAAGGTTTTTTATTTTGTTTTTTCTCAGAAAATGATGAAGGATAACAATCTGGTCCGCCACTTAGATGCTTGTGAAACTATGGGTAATGCTACAGCCATCTGCTCTGACAAAACAGGGACACTGACAACCAACCGGATGACGGTCGTCCAAGCCTATGTTGGTGATGTCCACTACAAAGAGATCCCCGACCCAGATTCTGTACCCGCCAAAACCCTTGATTTGCTGGTTAACGCAATTGCTATCAACAGTGCTTATACTACAAAAATTCTGGTAAGTAGCCTTTTTCTGTCAATAAAATGAAACGTAGCAGAAGGAGTTGTAATTTTTTAAGCATTGTTAATTCCTTAACATCCTGTTGTTGATTATGAAGCGTTAAGTACTGTTGAGGTCCTCAAAGTGAGAACAGGTGCTGTAAAAACTCTGTATTTTATGTTTTTCTTTTAAGGATAGGGATGTACTTGTAAGTACAGCACCATGCTACATTTTAAAAACTCCTGTTGTTAGACTGGGATGGCCCAGTTTCGGTGCAGGTAAATTTGCTAACACAACTAGTTTTCACTGAGACTTCACATGTGTAAAATTATTTTTGCGTGTCTTAAGAACTTTCAATTAATTCTCAAATAGGACAAATTGGATTGGTTAAATCAGTGAGGTTAATGATCTTTGTTCATTCTGGTTTCAAGTGAATTACATCCAGAAGTATTTTATTCAGTCTGTAAAGGAGGGCAAAATGGAAATACCATGTTTGCTTGTGGCATTAAATTCTTCTGTACAGAGCTAATAAAGAGGCTGAAAACTTTTGCAATTGCAATAGATTTGCTCTTTGAAAGGTCAAGCTTAATCTTAATATTGCAGAACAAATTTTTTTTTTTTAGTTTATGAATTTATGTATTGTCCTTTTTATAGCTCTGTGTGGAGCTGCGTAATAGTCTTGCGTGCACTTCACGTTTTTTTTAAAACTAGCCTTTTAAAATATAATCACAGAAAACAATTGATGAAATACTATGGAGTGCAAATGTTTCCTTTAATTCTTGCTATGTAAATACCTGGATATTAGTAAATAATAATCAACATGTGGAAGAAGAATGTTTGAGAAACCCGACACAGATATGCAAAGTGTGTTTGCGGCGAAGGCGTTTTTGAAATGAATGCTCCTGAGGATTGTTTAGCCAGGGTTGGTCCCTGGCTCCCTTCAGACAGTCATCTGTGCTGTGGTGCACTCGCTCTTCTGTTCTCGCCGAAAGCTCTTTGGAAAGGGAAATACGGGGAGAACCAGCCCCTAAGGTTCTGAGCCGCTTCCTGCATCAAGAGTGGAGAGGGAGTCACACCAAGCCTCCACCAGCTCAGAAAGGCACTGTGAGATGCCACCTTCCAGCTGAAACCAGCCAGCAATGCGGGTGCGCCTCTTCTGTCGCACTGTACAAATGGCTCTAGTCCGCTGAGGTGGGAGCTAGCCCTTTTCACTCTGAATGCAGATACCCTGGAAAAGCAGAGCTGGCTCAGCTGCGCACCGATTTCGGCTGTGAGCAGCCAACTAGCAGCACCAGTTCCCAGCCGAATCCTGGCTCTTATTCTAGCTTTTTCCTATGGTTTGTCCAGGTCAGAATCATTCAGGTTAGCTGAAATGCAAGATGGGCCTTCCATTCTCAGGTGGTTCGGTGTAAATGCTGTGTAATAGCTCAGTGTGGATATTTTATGGCAGTGGCGTTTTGGAATCTAATTTGCAAAAATTAGCAATAATATTTTACTATTGCTGGGTAAATCATGCTTTCACAAATCAGTATAACATTTGATTGTTGGGGAGAGGAACATACATCTTAGTTATTTTAATATTGTTACAACCTAAGTAAGGTTAGGTACTTGCGTAGAAAGAGAAATAGAATCAAACTCATCCTCAACACACAGGCTGGGATTAAGACAAGGTAATACAGATGAATTGGGATGAAGGATAATAGGTACCTATTTGTGTTTGTCTAACTGCTACGTGGTAATGCTAGTCACCAGTCCTAGCTGATGACTTTGGGAGGACTTTGAAAGAATGTTACCAACATTGGCAGAATTTTCCTCATTCCCAAGAAACAAGAAGGCAGAGGGCAGGCAGATCGGTTGGTAGTTAAGTCAGGTGTGACTGGCAGAGTTATATTTTGCTGTTCATTTTGAATGCTTGAGATTAAACACAGTAACAAAGTGTTTCTGTTCAACTTCCACACAAGTTCGCCCTCTCTGAATCTCAGAATAGTTTTAGGTTTCTGAGTAAGGCATGGGAAGGCATCAGACTTTCCAGAATGATGCATCTGTAATTTTGTTTAATGTTTAATGTTCTGTCTTTCTCTTGTGGTAATAGTTTCATTTGACTGAAAAATTTCTGGTCAACAGTAGTTCTAAAATTTCACTTTGGCCTCAATATAATTTTGAATTTCTTTTTTTACTCTGGCTTGACTTCATTGCTTCTTGTTGAAATTAGTTGTGTGTGCCTATTAAAAAGAGTCAATATTTCACCATTTCAGTTCTTTTTTAGCTTGGCACAGAGATTCTCTGTAAAATTGATAAATGGGTGAAATCCTCTGAAAATCATCTTTCTTCTGGATGCATATCAGAAGACTGATTGAACTTATCTGTGTAAAATTAATGGTGATTTTTTAGCTTTTATAACAGCATCATAAGATCAAGCCTTGCGGTATGGACCCCACGAGAATAATAGCTCCAGTGTCAGAGGAGTTCATTTTATTCGTTGTTTATAACAAGCTCAAGCTAAAGAGTTTAAGATACAAGGTATTGCTCCATAGCCCTCATTCATTTTAAGTAGTAAATAAATACAGTAAAGAATACGTAAGGGAGTTGTTTCCAGGATGAAGTGTACAGAATTATTTTTCTAGCTGCTAATGCTGAATGCATACTTGTGCACTCATTCTTAGAGTATATTTAATCAAATTGTATCAGCTCAAACCCAAAGGGCATATAAGTGTTATGTCGCTAAGACTGAATTTTACATATTCTATTTTTAGTTATCTAGCTATGCATATGCTGTAAATTGAGCTTTGTATGAAATTCTGTTCAGAGTGATCACATATGGGACCATAAAATTAGTCAAGATGCTCTGCTGAATGAGAAATATTCCCTCTTGCATTGTCTTTTGATTAAGGGGAAATTGAACCATTGATAAAAATATAAAAAGAAAATAATGTCACTGCTTGGGATAAAAGATTTGAATTTCCCTGAGAAATTAAACACAAATTATTCCAACTGAGCAATAGCATCATTAAATATAGTTCTTTTCAACGCTTTCCAAGGATTAAGTTACTGGGTGAGCTGATTTTGCCTTCCATTAGCTTCAGAGCAACTTTAATGCTGCTTTTATGCTGTTTACGTGAAGCTGTTCTCCAGAAAACCTTTCTTTTCCAGTATTCGTGTTTTAGATAGCTTTCCCACACAGAAGTAAAAATTGGACTTCATACATTTTTGCATGTGAGCTGTGATGAGAACTGTAAACTATCTCTTACTCTGAAAACAAAATTTGCATTTTGGGAATACTTTGATTGCACTTGGAGCAGAAGCACATTGATCTTGAATATCATGGAGCCGTAATGAAATAGAGACTCCCAATACCAAAACTAGTGATTTGAACTCTTCTATCGGGCTCTTGCTTGCTTAAATTCAGTTTTAATTAGAAAAGTGTTTCTGCTGCTTCTACTTTCCTGAAAACTGTCACAGCATAGATGATATGCTTTCTGGATGGGTATAATGTGTTCTTATTAAGAAGAGATCACAATTAGTGTTTAGTTGAGTGATTTTCAGCACCAGTGGAAAAGACCCAGCTGAACCCATTATTGTTAGTAACTAACACAGGCATTTCATTTGGTACTTGATAGGTGCCTAGGGAGCAAAAAAGCTACTTATGCCTGTATTAGGTGAGTATCTGCATCAGGAGGACTGTTTTCAGTTCTGATGATCTGGAGTATCATTTATTGCATTTGCACAGTATGTGGCACAATGGAGCGGAATCCTTTAACCGAGGCTCTGGAAGAAAAAAAGGCAGAGATGTCACAGAAAAGTGCAAAACATTCACTCCCTTCTACAGCTTCTGCCAACTTAGGAAATGAAGTAAACATATGTTAGTTGATATGTTAAGAAATGTTAGTCAAGTAATGAACATGACCTTGTAAAACTTTTGGAACAAAAAGGCCAAAACCAAAAGGGGCGAATGAAGCAAAAAAAAAGAAAAAAGAATGTAGACAATTTTATTGCAGCCAGAAGAGAGAAAGCAATGTTTCCTGTTTATCGTGTGGCAGAAGAACACCTGCATATGACCCTCTAACATCTGTCTAAGGAAACAGTGAAGTTGCCAAGGTTGCTGCCAGCATCCAAATTCCAACCACATTCCTACCACAGCCCTAGATGAGGGTCTTCACTGTACGCGCAGACAGACCTCTCCTCACAAGGCTGCAGGGATGGATTTGAGGGCCCCAAATAACCCCGTCAGGGAGGAACAGGGATTATTCCCCACAAGCTTCCCTGAGAGGAGTTTTTTCTGGGGGAGAGCGATGGTTACCCTCCGTGGGAGAATGATGCTGAGGCCACAGGCTGGCTGCGGGGTACATGGCGCACAGCAGCAGATTGGAGCTGCAACAGACTCAGCCATTAAGATTTACTAGGAGAGAAAGGAAGGTGTTAATTCACCTTCTTGCTTTGTGTAATTACTTTTTCCTGAATGTATAATGAAAGATCGTATTAAAATAAGTGGAACAAAATCTCTAACTTCTTTATATTGAAAGCAGTTCAAGAGATTTTGGCACAGAATTTTATTGTTACAAATAAATAGTTCTTTTGACTGATTGTCTGATGCAGAATGCTGGAATGAATGTACTTCATGCTTTCTTGGAGGAATGGGGTGGAGGGAGGCTGGCAGAGCAGGTAGGTAACCTATAATATATGAGAACCATAAGAAGAAATTACATTCTACAAAAGTGAAGTGGTGAAAGTAATGGAAAATATGTAGCTCATTCTTGTCTGACAGAGCATAGACCTTTTCTTTTATCTGTCTATATACATCTATTTATGTGTCTGTGTATTTATATGAAGTCTTGTTTTCAAAATGGAATGGAAGAAGGAGACCCTAACTGTGTAGGAAAGATTGTTTATTTCATTTCTTACAGAAAGCTCAGCCCAATAGATCAGATTATGCCATACCTATCAACAGAAGATCATCAGAATTTGTGTTTCCTGAGGCAACAGCAAAAGAGCCTGTACTTTATTGTAGCTGTCTGCCAAGG